GGCTTGCGAAAGTCGGGAAATCCTGATTCATCTCAACTTCGCTGGCAAGTCTCCAGACCTCCTTTTCACCAGATATACCTTGACGATCAAAAATGAGGTATCCCGAGCCATACTCGCAGTGGGCATATGCATGAACATAATGCTAACAGTACAGTACAATTAGACTTTCTATTGAACGGGCTCACTCTGCTCACCTCGGGCAAGGACCACAAAACCCGATCATCGTAGAGATCGACAACTGAGAGACCACCTCTCGAAGTTGTTACGATCAGGAATCCTCTCTGTTCGTCGGTCTTGATACGATGGACGTTGTTCCCAGCGCTTTTGTGTGAAGTCACGAAGGAGGGCGCCTCTCCTCGCCAGGAGTTTTGAATATAGAGCTGTGTGTAACCTGGGGGAATTAATTCGAAGCCACTGACACTTGCAAAAAGACGCACAGAATGATTTCCAGTCCCTCACGCCTAACGGAAGGATTGGATTTCAAGGCATGAAGGTTTGAAAATTTGAATCACGGACCAGCAAGGGAACGGCGTGATAGTGTAGTTACAAGGTCCGAGTATACGTTTGAGCTTGAAATGAACCCATGGAAAACGGCGGCGTTATGATACAGAATGGACTGGTTTACGTTGCAAAAACTGTTCCATTCGCGCGAGACCGCGAAGACGTTCGCAATTGTAGATAAAGGTGCGAACTTCAGGATTTCGACGACCAGCTCAACCGGGAGGTGCAACATGGAAGTTGAGGCAAGCTTATTACGATGAGTGAGTGGGATGATGCATCGATGATGCGTGATCGTGATCTAAGTACACAGCCACTCGTCGACCGTTAATGAAAGGCTATGGCAAGGCTCGACGCTGGTGGTCCAAACGGTCACTATCTGGGTCGAGCTGTAACAGTGTAAGGAGAACAAGGCATATATATTGTAGTTGCAAATTTGCTGGAATGACAAAATCAAAATAGCTCACACGTAGTTTCGACAGGCTGGTTGGGTGCCAATTTTGCAAACTTTTGGAAGATATACCTAGCTACAGCGTGCAGTTCACCGACGGGAAGCTACTTAAACAGACAAACAGAAATATAAAGATGAGGATAGCTTGGGGGACGCAAAGCTAACTGGCTCCCAGATCTTCGAGAGCAGTCAAAGAGCAGATCGGAACGGGCAGGATCTGGAATGAAAGCGTGAAAGTTTATGGTATATCTCATGACTAGTCCAGCGCTTGGATCCTCAGAAGTTGGAAGGCCAAGATACTTCGGAGTGTGCTCGCAGTGAACTGCTCCCGGAATGTCCTATCACCACGAGGCTATTCCGTTCTGACAGGAAGTTCGGAGTGAGAAAAGTGTGAATCGCCGTTGCACATCCAACGAAGATTGATGAAATGGGAAGAGAGCTTTTGGCTTTGAAAATTTCCGGGATGGGAGAAGCCGTCTTGAGTTACAGCAAGGGTTTGTGGACAAAGACCTTCTGTCGTTTGCGAAGCAGGCAGAACGAACGGCGTACGCGGACTGTTGGGATCCTTGGACTAATTGCTTCCATATATCGCGGTAGGTCCCCCAGCAGTGGGAGGCAGTGGGCCTGCAGCGTCCAAGAACGGTTTCGAGCTCACTTCATGAGCTGTCCTTCGCGCCTTTTGTGCGGCTGCTACTGCTGACTGAGGATGATCATCAGCCATTCTTATTTAATAACGTGAAATGGGAATCGCACCTGATAGACAACGGAGTGATATGGGGCGAATTCGAGAATGTTCAACCACGGAGTGATAACTCTGAGATCATCCAGGAGGATGCACCAGTTTCTGTTCGAGTCGGTCGGAAACAAGTCGAAAGCGCCACCCAAGAAAATGTCTGGTTTTGTAGGGTTATGGAGCACATCTTGAAGTCTGAACGATGCCGTGCTTGCCCGTGAGTTTGAGATGACACAACAATATTCCGGTGTAAGGGGCGAGTTCAACTTCTATTGCGGGCTAGAACATTCGGATTGAAGAGCGAAAAAGTGTGAGTTTTCAGGGACCGTGTGCGAGACGTTGACTCTTGAGGCTTGAAATCCAATGAGCGCAAGCGATTATCATTCCCAGGCTCAGAATGCTGGCACCGGACGATGAGCTTGAACGGGACAATGAGGTGCCCGAAGAAGACCTATATTCTCATCGTGCCACAGCAGAAAAACTGAGGCAAAGAGTGGAGAGCAAAAGTCCTAGACACAGCCACGGGTTCAACCTTATTTTCAATTCCAACTCCGAATCAGACCACCAACGATAAGACCCAACACACCTGTTCGCCCCGCCGTCAAGTCTGCGATTTGCTGGGCTTCGCCATTGCAATGACCTGGACAGCGAACGTTGACTGAACATCCACCCGGCCGGCGGCAGGATTTCTGTCTTGACCAACGTTCGCCGTGGCGCTGAAATCATTCCTCGAGGCATCCGGAAGAAGTGGCAAATATACGATTTTCTACGGCAAGGATTTTATATATTTCCTCGCGCGAAGATAGGATCTTGGAGGTCCCTCGTCCGCACATTGGATTTCTTAGGCGCATAACTGCGAGCCTTGTAAGTTGTGAGTGTCATTTCTATAGCAGTTTAGACGAAGTCTTAACGCACACCTTTTACGCTCGTACAAAGCTGAATTGACATGCAGAGTTCTGCAGAGCAAAATACCCGAGGGCCACGAGGAAGGATCGCTTCTTGGTGATCCTAGGAATTTTCTCCGAGGTCTCAATGACCGCAGAAATCTTCGGACCAAAGTCTAGCATTTCCTGGAAGACCCTGGACGGAATTTCTACAGATTCCTTGCTATTGCATTCTTCATTCGCTCAGTCAAGCCTTGGGCGGTTGGTAATGTGGAACCTAGAGGCCGGCTGGGTCGCGAACGTACTGCACGAGCTTCCCCCGCAATTCAACCGACATGCGTGCGCGCACCCAGGAGGGGCAGAATACTGCCAGTCTCGTTGTCTTTCGTGCGCATACGAGCTGGCGTCCTGGAGCGAGGCGTTTGCCTAGAATGTTCAAGCCTTGGTACGGATCGTTATTGTCCACTTTACTCCACACAGTGTCAACAAGAGGAACTGGTTGAATCTTCTTCGAGAGCCTATTGATTCTCGGAATGAAGATTGCGCTGAAGTAGTGTTCTCGATAGCTGGGTCGTCACGGTCTCCTGGTCCTGAGGCGAGTGGAGCGAGTGGACTTGCATCTGTCCGATCGTTCGCTACGAACAAGAAAGAAAGCTGGTACTTGAACTGTGTTGGAATGCGCCTGGACTGCTCGAATTATCGGCGGTTTCTACTCGTAGAGATGTTCAAGAGACGCCGCTCACGCTGTTCTTGATTTGTTTAACCAGAGATCATTTTCACCATTCTTCACTCACACGCCTCCAACGAACTCTCTTCGCCTCCATGAATCACGAATGCAAGGCATGCAGAAAACCCGCAACCAAACACTGTGCTGGTTGCACCGTTTCGACGGCGTGGTACTGCTCGACGGATTGTCAACGGCGTAATTGGACAGAGCATCGACTCGAGTGTCGCCCTCGAACCACCGCCGACCACCTTGCTCTCGCCGTCCATAAAAATCTAATTCCAGACGACCCCCAGACATGCGAAGACTTCGGCTTTGCCAAAGCTTTCAGCATAGAAAACAAATCTAGCCTTTTGGGGCTGTACATCGGACTCATTGAGCGTCTTCAAGTCAGCCCTAAGAAGATTCGACAATGGCAAATCGAAGGGACGCTGGTAGAAAACATTAAAGCCACCTTCAGCACCGTCCCAGCGCACTCGCGCGGCAGATACTACCCGTGGTTTCTCCGTAACCAATGGGTTCTCGATCCCAGACTTCCTCCACCAAGAAATCCGGCCAACGAAATGATGACACGCGGATGGCAATATGTTCGAGGCCGTCCGAACACGGATTCGCCGGACAGAATTGCGGCGGAGATGTCTAGTTGGCCGGAGGAAAAGCGGGCTTGCCAATTGCTCTGCAATTTGATCCTCTCCCAGATGCGCCCATCCCCCGAACTCGACATTTGGGTCACATTTGGATTTTGTGCATGCCATGACGAGGAAGACGCGAGACGACTGGCTCAAGTCTACGCCGAACTGATTCGGTACGGAAAATGCGCATTCGAAGAGCTCTACCATGCATACTACACTTCCGCACTCATCGCTCTGTTCGATTCCAAAGGGCTTAGAGCTCAGAGGGAAACGATCCCTCATCTCGACGAAGTTCTCGCAAGGTCCCCACGCATTTTTCACTCCGTCTGCTATCTGAAGCAGCTCATCCTGGGTCAAGGGGAAGGTGCAGAGCCGATATCCAGTGTCGTTGTGGATTACGGGTTCGCCAATTGCGTCGACGAAGCAGAAACGTCGCTTCTCAAAGATCTATATCGCCAGATCTTTGCCCTCCCTCGAGCTCGTACCGATCTCATGCAACTTCACGAGGCATGCATTCAGGGCAGATTGTACGAGTACGCCGGACGCTTGCTAAAATTGGGGAAGAGAGATCAAAAGGTCTTTAAAAGGTTATTGAAGAACCCATACCCAATACCGAACGTCTAAAAAAGTTTTGCGCTAAATATGTAGTGATGTCGCTGGACGCGATTCGGCGAAGCCTGAATGCGTGACTTGTATTGTATTGTCTACGTGTAACATATGCTATCCCAATATGACTGAGTAAAGACAGTTGGGTTCGACAAAAACAGGGAACACAAACCAAAACGTCTGATCAAGGATCAGCAAAAACAGCTGATGAGAGTGGGATTCGAACCCACGCCCCGGAGGACCAGATTGTAATTGCTTCACAAATTAAGCTTCGAAAGAAGCTGATCCTTAGTCTGGCGCCTTAGACCGCTCGGCCATCTCACCATGTAGCCTGGACAGCGAAAAATATACAGGGGGCGTGTAAATCAGGATCTGTGCCATATTTGAAGCTGGTGCGATCAGAGTTTTAAAATTTATTCAACTTGGATTCCCTTCCAACACCTCGGGATACTTCTCCTCTGCACGCTGCAGTGGTGAGATGGCCGAGCGGTCTAAGGCGCCAGACTAAGGATCAGCTTCTTTCGAAGCATAATTTGTGAAGCAATTTACAATCTGGTCCTCCGGGGCGTGGGTTCGAATCCCACTCTCATCAGCTGTTTTGCTCTCTGGGAGTGAAGAAAGTTTTCGAAATAATTATAAAGCTCAGAAGGGCTCAGAAATTTGAAGTGTCCTGCAAAAATGACACAAACACTTCAACTGGCGCCACCATCCATCGGTAGCACTCAGTACGGCATTTTACCGGGCTCGCCGGGTAGTGTGAATGCATGTCGAAGGAAAAAGCGGTACATAGGCGCCCGGGCGCCGCGTATTCGCAACAAGATCACTGATCCCGATCCTCAGCCTGGAGTGTGTCGTCCGTCCCGATGACCAATAATACCTGAAAATCACTGACGTCACGAAGAGGCGCCCGCGAGAGAGGCTACGCCAAGGAAACTAGGCCAAGAAGCAAGCAAGGGGTGCGATACATTATCAATAGTGCGATAGACGAGGATAGACGGCGGCCACAGCCGGCCGGGAAAGCATACTAGGACTAGTACAACGGAAAGAATGAGGATAGCCGGAGTCGGAGCATACCGTATGGATACGTAGTACACAAGCAAGAAAAGAGGAAATAGATACAGGTGGCAGTCAGGACTCTGTCATGGTACGCCCTGATAGTACAGAATCAGCGGGCTCGGTGGGGGCGAGCGGGTTACCTCATAATTCCCGACATTGAAGCTGAGAAGATAATAAATAAATCAGTGAGATACAGGACAGAGCGATCGCATGCTTACTGCACATGGTCGCCTTCGCCGAGCGTAAGGCGCACAGGCAGCCGGGGGTCAATGCGTACCGGCGCACTGTTGCCTACAAAAAAATCGCCACGGCTGAAGTTGCGGGTGATCGCGGCGGTCTCCTCCTCCGTCAGAGTGCGCGGACGCTTCGCGGGCCGAAAGGTCGAGGAAGAGGCACCGGTCAAGGTGCCATTGTAATCGTAGTACTGTTGGTGATTCAGCGTCATACCAGCTTGCACTGGGGCAACATAGACGGGTGGCGGCGCAGTGTGTGTGAATGTCGTCGTGGCCGTCGTAGAACTAGAATCTACTGAGATAATGCCATATTATTATTATTTGATCGGCGTAATAGGCAGACATGCCTGGCGGCGCGGCGCGGTCATGTTGTTGGGGCTCCGAGTCGGGATCGGGATAAGAGCAGGAATTGGCGAGGCCGCGTTTGAGACAGTTCTAAGTCAAATTATTTAACAGACGCGAGATGATCGTTGGATTTGCCTGGCATGGCAGAGTCTCGCTGCATCGTGTTTTCCCAGTGTGACAAGCAGTACAGGCGCGGCGGACTGAAGGAGCTTTCGCTGCAATTTTATTGAATCCGCAGCGGACGAGAATGGCAGATTTTGCACGCACGCTTGCGAGTAGGAGATTCACTGGGAGCCTGGGGAGATTGCTGGACTTGCTGGATCTGGTGCTGGGGATGAGGCGGGTGCTGAGGGTGCTGTTGCGGGTGCTGGGGATGCTGAGGGTGCTGCTGAAGTTGATTATCGGCAATTATCTGCTCCTCGGGGTGGGCCGACGACATAATACGGCGCCGGACGGGGAGGACGGAGGGAAAGGTGCGTGTGACTCGGGCCGTATGGCACCCGTTGTGACTGTCACATTTCCCCATCAACGATCGCTGATAGGATCATCGGTTCAACTGCCGATTGCCCAATTGGGCCTTCGCTACTATAAAACTCTACTCTCCAGATCTTTTGGGTCAATGTCTCCTCGACCACCTTTCCCGACTTTGACTTCAGCTTCGACCCCTCTGGGTTCCCAAATCCTCCATCTCTTCCCCCCTCCGCAGATCTCTTTTCTGCCGCAGAGACCACAGATATCCTTGGTTTCCTCGATAATTTCAATGATTTTGGTTGGGAGAACGACCAGCAATCATCGTATCCGTCTCCTCGAGCTCCGTACTCGAACCCCCATCTGAATACTGCACCGGAACCATCTACCTCGGGTCGTCCCCGACGGAGCACCCGTTCTGCTACCCGTGCACCTACACAGCAGCAGCAGCAACAGAAAGAGGAGCAGCAGCAGCACAGACGACAGCAGCAGCACAGACGAGATCCATCGCCGAGACGCAACAGCCAGACCCCAAGCAACGCGTCGGAATCCTCTTCCCATGCGAACGATCATTCAAGTTCCGGCACCTCCGCCTCCGTTCCCCCCGCTCCCCCCGCACCCGTTCCTCGTGCATCGAAACCCCTCCTCTCAACGCCGCAGAAGCGCCTGAACCACATAATGTCCGAGCAGAAACGCCGGAATGCAATTCGGGACGGGTACGCACAGCTGATCGCGCTGCTGGCACCGGCCGGATCTGCTCCAGGTCTCGGAATGCCTCAGCGCGGCAGGCCAAAGGGGAGTGGTAGTAGAGGTAAGGGGCAGAGCAAGGGGAAGAGCGGCGTGCTGTTCAGGGCGGTGGAGTACATCCGGTGGCTCGAGGAAGGACGCAATGCGATGAGGGAAGAGGTTTTGCGCGTGGAGCTGGCGGCGGGTATTCGCGACGGCTCGGCCAATCGGTAGCTGGTCCAGGGCGGATGGGTGAGCTGGTCCTCCTCGCTATCCTCCCGTGCTGACTTGATTTCAGGTGGACAATGAATTTATCATTGTGATACGCTCTAATTTGCCTCGAACTTTCAGCTCGGCGGAAACACCTGTCTCGGAATCCAGATCGTCTCTTTCGTTATGAATACTACGCCGGGCATCATTCGCACGGAGCATAGGCCTCAGGGAGACACCTAACGTCATCCTTTCCCTCACCAAATCCATCGGAACAGAATCCAATTCGAAGCGTAGCCGGGAAAAGACTTGTGATGTGAAAGGCAACGGATTCAAGGTCTTGTAGTTATTCAGTTCCCAGTGTAAGCGCGTAGCGCGCCAGTGTAAATGTACAAACTCCTTCGTGAAAGCCAGAGCCTGATAGGGGCTTGAATAAAGATAAGATAAGATGCAAATTGCATTCCAAAAAGGAAACCATGCCTCCGACTCCCACTCCTCCACCACCCGAATGGCCGTTTCCGAAATTCAACATCCGCGTCGAGGACATCGCACACCCCGGCGCGGTCCTGTTCTTTGACCACGTAAAACCCCCGGATGCCCTCCGCGCTGCCGTCCTCGCCAGCTTCGAATGGCTGTACGCAACGCCAGCGAATGCGCCAACCAAGTCTGTCGCTCTTCATTCATTCGGATATATACCATGGCATCTTGACCGCCGTGCCGCAGTGTAAAGCTGATCCAGCTGGTCCTGCGCCCCATGGATGGTGTTGCCTACACCTTTGGATCTTCCTCGGAAAAGGAGATCCATTTCTCGCTGGACCACATCGTGAACAGCGCTTCCCGCGCGCGCGATGAGATAATGGGTGTCTTGGTGCATGAGGTCTCGTTCATTCCTTTGCTTCCACTAGCTGTACATTAATGTTGGCTCAACGCAGGTCGTGCACTGCTACCAGTACAACGCCAATGGCAGCGCGCCCGGGGGACTCATCGAAGGCGTCGCCGGTATGCTTACATCTTTATCGTCTAGCCGCGCTCATGCCGCCCAGATTTCGTGCGTCAGCACGCGGGCCTCGCGCCGCCACACTGGCAACGCGCGCCGGCGCCGAAAGACAAGTGGGACGCAGGCTACCAGACGACGGCGTACTTCCTCGACTGGATCGAGGAGCGCCGCGGCAAGGGCACGATACGCGCGCTCAATGACGCGATGCGGGATACGGAGTACGACGAGAAGGTCTTCGTAGTGCTCACGGGTGAGCCGGTGCGTGACCTTTGGCGGCGCTACAAGGCGGAGCTGGGCGTCGAGGATGGGGAAGGCGAGGATAAAGAGAAGGATAAGGAGGGCGACGGCGACGGCGACGAGTGCTTTGTTTTAGTGTGAGTACAGGAACGAATGTTTTATCTATCATTTATTTTATTTGTTTAGACGGAACTACAACCCGGTATACATATGAGTAGGATTTGCATTGTGTTTTGTAAGTTTTCGGGATGACATGTGTGTATTTAGTACTAGATGGCAATGGAGCGGACCAGTAACTTATCTTCGACTTATGAGGCCATCGCCCTCTGAACATCGACCTCAATGCCTCCTCGAATTACCTCGAACTGCAACTACACATCGTCAGAATCTTCTCCAAACATAATCTTCAAGTTCTCGATGCTCTCCGGGTCCGTCGATGGCCCTGCAGACCCGCCGTTTCGGAAAGCCTCCTTCACAATCGCAGTCTTCCGCTTCTGGATCTGCAGAATTCGGCCCTCGATGGTATTCGACACCTATTGGCGTCAGCACAACGCCGCCGTGAATGAGTGTTGTCTTACGATAAAATGAGTCACATAGACGGCTTTTTCCTGCCCAATTCGGTGCACTCGGTCGATGGCTTTGATGTGAGGTCAGATTAGGTTTCCAGATGCCGCAAGGTCTTGCGACCTCGAACGTAGTGAATCAGAAAAACTTGCCTTGGTTCTCGGTTGCGGCATTCCACCAGCAATCCATCTGTGGATAACGGGTGAGCATATATATGTCAAGCAAGTAAAGGAGGGTACCATGAAGACATGATTGGCAGTCGTCAGCTAAGTCGAATACATATCGTGAGTGGTTGAAGTAAAAATCGCCGAAGACTTACATTCAACCCAACTCCGCCGGCCTTGAGGCTTACAATCAACACCTTGGGTCTCCGAGTCGGAGCTCTGAATTCTTCGAGGGCTATGCCCCTTTTCTTCACATCCATCGAGCCATCGAATCGATACTGCTCGAAACGTTCCCGCTTCAGTATGGCCTGAATGAGGTCCAAAAAGGAAGTGAATTGGGAGAACACGACGGCGCGGAAACAAGGGTCCTGTTCGCGCAGTTTTTCTGAACAAGGTATAAGACTTAATTCTCGAGGAGCGAGGGTGACCTACGGAGTTTTGGACGAGGGCGTCGAGCTTGGTCGAAGAGTGAAAATTATTCTTCCTCAGAATCATATGCGACTCTGCACCCTGGGAGTTCTTCGGGGGTCGGAAAACCTCGATGAGGTCTTCTTCCTTCAACGGCCCCCGCGAACAAGTTGGACAACGGGCT